TTCACAGCCGTGTGCATCCTCCTGACGTTGGACTGGTTCCTGCCAAAGGAGAGCAGTCACTCTGCACCCCCCGCCCATGATGCCGGGCACCAGGCCAGGTCTGAAGCCCCACCTGCCCCACTTCGCTCGCATTCGAAAGGGCCTAGTGGAAACAAATCCGATTCACACGGACTCACAGCCCTGAGGCTGCAAGGGCGGCGATTCCACGGGCGGAGGACCCTTTTGGGGATAGAGGGCAGGGAAGGGGATTCACTCAGCAACCAGAAGGCTGTGGCCTCCCGACACTTCAGACTGAGGCTCACTAAAGCTGCCGAGCGTCTAGTTTACAAGCAGCTGTCCACACAGGCGGAAACAAATGCTTCGGGGGGAGGTAGCTGTCTGGGCGCAGAAAGGCGCTCACACATCTGGGGTCTCTGAACTGTGTCCACTGGAATCCTGGCGTGGCGGCCCAACCTTGCTTTAAACACGACCCTGAGGTGAGTTTGCTAAACCCAGTGCACACGCCAACCTCACATCCTGACACAGGCTGGGGTCCGAGGAGCCCAGAGGTAGAGGGGAAGAAGCCAGGTCCCCGCACCTGGTTCCCACCCCACTACAGTCTGAAGTCCGGTACCAGCGCCTGAGATCCTGGCCAAGGATGCGGCCACAGCCACTGTGAGCTCCAACCTGCTCTGGGTCCTCCTGGGCGCTGCTGCTCTTGGCTCCATCTGAAGGACAAGAGCTTCCAATGCTCCACGACCCTGTGTCACGGGGCCTCGCTCACTACCCAGTCTCCACACTCCACACATCTAGGGAGACTGCGGACCACACCCTCCGGCTCGCCAGGCACTCAGGCCCCCACGGGTCCCCAGCCAGGTGGCCACGGGTCCCCTCTCTAGGGGACTGCTCCAATGAGCACTCGGGAGCAGCTGTCTTTGGAGCCCGCCCACCTCAAAGCATTTGCATCTTCCTGTGCTGGACAGTTCTGGGGTCACACACGGGGGATCCGTGGCCAGCCTCAGGACATCCAGTCTGGCTGCAGCCCTTCTACAAGGGCACTGTGCCCGGGACACAAGAGGGACGGCGGGCAGACAGACAGAGGCCGCACACAAGGGGTCGGGAAAAGGCCTGCAGGACAAAGGCCCAGGCCGTACTCTTTGATCAACTCAACCCTTCAACCCAATAAACCTGATTATAACCACCGATTATTACCAGCAGGAAAACAGGGACACAGACCCTTTATTTTCTCCCTCCAATTCCATCTGATAAAATTAGAGATCGGGTCTCTGTCCGAGGCACAACCGGGACCTCTCATCACAACAACCATGAATTAGGTGCCCGGAGAGACCACAATTACCAGTGTGCTTGGGGAGGGCAGCAATTCCAGAAATGCATGTGTGAGGTATTAAAGGGTCTCTTAGGGCTGAGAGTTTGAAAGCACATATAATCTTAAAATCAGAGGTCTGGGTCTGGAAGGACCCGTGGCTCCAGAACAAAGTGACCCCGGTGCAGGTTAAAGGCCCAAACAGGGACAGGGTGGCCCTCACGTCCCCAGAAGCTAAGAGTCTGGGAGTCCACAAAGTCGGAAAGGTATCAGAGACACCGACTCTGCCAGAGGGAGAAGAGCTTTCGAAACAGGGTTTCAGAGGCTGGGAATTAAGTCCAGGGTGGGGGTAGGTGGGGGGGACAGGGGTGGTAAGTCAAATGGCGATTCTGGTCCCTGGTGGCGACATGGTGAGGACTGAGGAAACGCTGAAAAAACACGTGCTGCACACCCCAGAGAGCCAGCAAACCACCCCGAAGTGCACATGCCCTGGGGACACCACCATAAGGCGTGCACATGGCAGGGCGGGCTGACCTCCCACCTTCCAAAGCTTCTCCCAGCCTAACCCTGGGAGGCCCGGGCAGGAGTACGGCCCTGAAGGAACAGACACCCACAGGCTCAGTTCTGCCCAGGAAGCGGCCTCTTCCTGGTTCATTCTCTTCTGAGCCCCCCAGCCTGGGGGTCCACTCTGACCCCTGCTCCAGGCAGGGGTTGGGGGTTCGGATGCATGGAGCCTGTCCTGAGCCCACGGGTGCCACACAGGGGTTTCAGCAGGCCCAGGGTTCCACAGCGCTTTAGGGAGGAACCCTATCCTATATCTACCTGTTTGTTTGTTTAATTTGTAGACTTTGGGGGGGGGGTGGGATTTTAATGGACCAACACTGTTACCTAATTCACTCAGGTTTAGGGGTCAAAAAAGGAAGTGGAGCCCTCAAGACCCCCAGAGTTCCACTGTGGACACTGCCTTGGACTGGGCCACCGCAGGAGAACACAGCCCAACAGCTCCTGGGGCAGCCAGGGAACGGGGGACACAACAGAAAAAGAGGGACGGGCAGATGGACCAACAGCAGCTTCAGGGGGCCCTCCCTCCCCGCTGGCCAGCCTGGCCCCGGCCCCCTGTCTGTGGGACTAAGTCCCGCCCTGACCGTACAGAGAATTCATCCACATCCCTTTTCACACAGACGTTAGAGAACAGCAGCTTCCCACAGGGTGAAAAGGCGTCGGATGTGGGGGGCACAGGAAATCCTGTCTCCGCAGAGCTGATGTTTGGTATCTGAGTGCCTTGATCCAGGGATGTGGATGAATCAACTAACAGCTACCAAGACACATGCTTCCGCTCGGAGCCGGCTCAGGACCAACCCTCCCAGATCTCTGTGCTTCTGCGGAATTTAGAGAATGAATGTCAGGAATGTGCCGTGAGCCGCTCTGAATGGGGAAGAGCAATTAGACAGGAAATAACGGAAAGCTACAGCAGCGGCGAGCAAGCTCCGCCTGCACACGGACACGCACGCACAGCACGCACACACGGGTTATTCGGGGTACGTGGGTCAGGCATGCGAAGCAAGCAGGCTAACAGACGCCCTAAGCCAGGTGAGTGACTTACAGGTTTCCCCATTCTCTACATGGAAGAGAAAACAGAGAGAATATGTTACTTCAGCAGTGATCACGGTAGACACTTTTAAACAACTGTAGGCTCATCCCAGGCTGCCCTTTCCTGGCCTACCTTGGTCTTCTCTGCGAGGGTCCTAGAAAGCCTGCAGGCCCTTCCCAACACCCGGGCTTTAGTCCTAGCCCTCCGCTAACGACCCCAGGGGGGCGCTGCTCTGCCCTCCAATCCGGGACACAGAGGCTGTGTGACTATGACGCAACCTAGACCCGTTCTTGGGGCCCAGCCACACTGTGTCCTCCACAGGCACCTCTGCCAGCCCTGGCGGTTCTCAGCTCAACGCCACAGGCGGGAGCCAAGGCAGGGGGACAGGTCCCTGACAGGCACCTGCATCATCAGCAGGTCCAAGATGGGAGTTCTGACCCGTCCAGGAGCCCTCACTTCTAGCTGCTGTATGATTCACCAAGAACACAGTCGGTAGCCCCACGACTGACTCACTGCCCGGGCCCAGCCACCCAGCCCCGAGAGGACACTGCGGCCCCTGGGCTGGTTCCCTGCCCTCCCGGCCTGCCAGCCTGCAGCTGTGTGCCTGCTGCCCGGTCACAGGCAACACAGGGAGGTGGGACCTGCCACCCGGGGCCCCAGGTTGCCACTCACGGCTTCAGGCTGAAGAGGTCTTTGAACCCGGACATGTTGGCCTCTTTGTTCTTCAACTTCTCGGCGATCAGCTTCTCCTTCGTCCAGGTCATCTGCACTTTGTCGGGCGTGGAAGGGGCTCGGGTCCTGGTGGCCACCACAGAATGGGATGCAGTATTCCGGTCATGAATTAGCTGAGCCTGGAGGGAGGGCAGGGGCAGCAATAGGACTCACCACAGCAGGTCTCCAAACCTCCCGGGGAAGAGTGAGCATGGAAGGGAGGAGCTCCTGGCCCACGGAACCAAGGTTTGTGCCCAACTGAAACCAGAGACCCCCGGACGGCCTCCCAGTTGGGGTCCTAGTGATGCCCCCACTCCCACCAGTCCACCCTCCCCCTGGGCTTCCAGGCCAAATCCATCACTTTCCTCTCCTCCTTCACCGTCTCCTCCTGCCCCATCTCGGAAAGCTGGCTCAAAGTGACCGCAAAGACCCTGGTCCCCACAGCCCAGGGGCGTCTGGAGGAACAACGGGTCCTACATCCGCACCCATGTGACTGGCCCTCTCTACTGAGGGTTCCGGGCCCACGCACACCTCCCTCTCCCGCTCCGTCTTGGACAGCTGCATCTGCTTCAGCATCTGGCTCCTCTGCTCCATGACCAGCGTCTTCTCATAGGTGAAGGCGGAGATGTCGTTCTCAACCTAGAACGCCCAGGACACAGCAGTAAACTCAGTGTGGACAGAACGCGATGCTCTCACCACAGATCACCGCTTCGGGTGGAGCAGGCACTGAAACAACAGGTGGCCTGACCCTCCCTCTGTGGCTCAGAGCCCCCAGCCCAGCAGGGGTGAGCATGTGTGCACGTGAGTGCATGTAAGTGTGATCCCGTGTGTGGGTAAGCATGTGCGTGTGGGTGTACATGTGCGAGTGAGTGTGTGAGCATATATATGAATCAGCATGTGAGTGTGTGTAAGCACATCTGTGGGTGAGCATGTGCACAAGTGTGTATAAGTGGGAGTGTGTGTGTGTGTGTGTGTGTGTGTACACGGACATCAAGCTGGTAAACGTGAGCATGTGAGGAAGAGTATGAGACTGTGTAAGCGCCCGTGTGTGTGAACAGCCCTCACAGTTCTGTCTTCATCACCTGGGACAGGTAAAATGTCACACTCCCCTGACAGGACAAACTAGAGAGGGCAGGCCACCTCTGGGAGTCGTCCTCTCGCACAAAACCCAGCCCACCCATGGGGAAAACATCAGGCACACCTAACCTGGGGGGCAGTTTACAAAGCACCCAAGCCCCTCTAACTGCCATGGTCGCAAAGGAAAAGAGAGAGACACTGTCACATCCCAGAGGAGGGCGTGCAGCGCGGGGCCCTGACACAGAAAAGGGCCTGGGGAACGTGAACAAAACAGCACAGCCAGCAGCCCTGCCACCGAGCCCAGGCCCTCACCATCTCCACCACCTCCACCTCCGCGCTGATCCGGAGGTGGTACAGGAACGTCTGCAGATCCTTCTTCATCTGGATGCTGTTGTCGTCCACCTGCGCGACCGTGAAGATGCGCATCCGGCACTTCCTCCACACCTGGGGCGACGGACATCCGCACTCAGGGCAGCTTCTGGCACGTTGGCCCCACTGCCCACCTTGGGGGACACAGGCCACCCAGAGTCTCCCACCTCATGTGACTCCCCCTGGCACTCTCCGACAGTGTAACCCCCACCCCACCAATGAATGGCCCCTGACCTCCCACCTGTGACCCAACCCCCACCTGTGAGCCACCCCACGTGACCCCCGCTCCCACCTTGTGCTGCCGCAGCAGGAAGGGCAGCAGCATGAGCAGGCCCCCGTCGTGTACGATCCACCACACGTCGATGTGCCCATCGCTGAAGCGTTCCTGGTTTTGCGGAAACAGGTCCACGTTTTTGGCCACCAGCAGGGCCTGCTGCGCGGCCGTGGTGTCGCGAACAGTGTCTGTGGAGAGTCAGCACACGGGTCAGCAGGGCCTCGGCAGCACTGCACACGCCATGGAGACGCTGGGCACCAGCCAGCGCAGGAGGCGGCCACAGGGTCCCCACGAAGCCCACACCTGGGGCGGCTCCAAAGGCAGCGCTTGCTCCATCAGCAGCTCGCAGCTGGCACAGGGGTGTGGGTGGCCAAGCCAGGTACCTCCCCAGGGATGGCCAACTGGGGGGCATAGTTGGGAGAAAGGGAGAGGGTGGCTCAAAGGGCCATTTGCTTTTCAAAAGTTTTCAAGTGAAACAGCACAGCCTGGGGCCCCAACACGCCCCGGGGAGCAAGCTGACCCTGACACCCACAGCCTGTGGGAGACATTACCCACCGACAAAGTTCTTCCAGGAGAAAGGGTTGTCCTCCTCCTTCCAGGACTCGGGCCAGGCCATGAGCACCGTGTTGTGCTTCATGCCCCCCAGGCCAGCCGACTGGATCAGGTGCGACATGCCATCCCGCAGGTTGGAGGACACAACCAGCTGGCAGAAGCCTTTGGTCTTCTCGGCACCCATCAGGGACCGGATGTTCTGGGGAGAGGCCAAGAGTCAGTGCCATAGTGCCCATGGCGCAGACCGGGCGCCAGCCCACCACCAGGGGCCAGGGCAGCCTGGGCAGACCCCACGCCGACATCACTGCCTCAGGTAAGGCCACAGGCTCAGGCTCAGTGGGTGGTACCTGTGGTACCAGATTCAGGACCTGGCAGATGCTCCGGGGGACCCCCTGCCTGTGTGTGCCTGCGGCCATGCATGTGCGGGAGAGGGGAGGGATGGTCAGTGTGGGGGAAAAACTTGAGGTGGTTCTTTCAACATGATCTATATGTCTCACAAAACGGCCCACTATTTCACTGGAACACGTTGAGCCCGGGGTTAAACACCTGGTTTGTTGAGAACTTCACTAGACCACATCAAAGCTAACCACTCTTCTAAGAAAAAATGTGGTACTTCACAGGCTCAGGATGAAATACCAGGTGCCCTGCCGTATGCAGCTTCTGTCTGCTCGGTCACCAGGCATCTGACCAGCCAGCTCGGTATCAGAGGAGGCCCAACTCAGGGACCAACAGCATGTCTTCCATGAAAGCAATGCCACGGGCAGATGCTGGTCTTCCTGGCCACGCTGAGCAGCCCACAGAGGCCAGGCTCAGACTTGCTTTAGGCAGAGCCACAAGCCATGAGCCACGAGCCACAGAGACACACTCCCAGCCCTGAGACCAATGGGACCAACCGCTGGATTTCAAACTCCTCATGTGTCTGCCTCCTAAAATGGGAATGTCTCTCCCAGGTCTGCCCCACGTTGTACTTTGGAACACAGATCACTTGTTTTCTTAAGTCTCGGAGGTCTGTGGACAGAGGAATTCAGCCCAGGATGAACTATTCCCAGAGGTGCACCAATACTCAATTAAAACGATGGAGGTGAGATTCAGGACCTCTGAGAGCCAGATGGGATTCTGGGCTGAACTGATAATGAGCAGAGGCTGGGGAGGGTGTTGGGGTAAGATGAATGTATTCTGCACATAAGAGAGATGAGCATTTTGGGGTTCAGAGGACAGACTATCGTGGGTTGATGGTGGCCCCCCAAAAGATATGCCTGAATCTTAATCTTGAAGACCTGTGAATGTGGCCTTAAACATTCAAAGCCCCTGGAAAAAGGGTCTCTGCAGGTAAGAATCCTACGATGAAGAGACCATCCTGCATCTCCCAGGCGGCCTTGAATCCAGTGACAAGTGTCCTTATAAGAGACAGAAGAGGAAAGACAGAGGCACAGAGAAGGCACAGAGGCAAAGACAGGAAGAGAAATGTGAGGAACGTGGCCACAAGCCCAGGGACACCTGGAGCCTCCAGGGCTGAAGGTGGCAGGAAGGGTCCTCCTCGAAGTCTTGGGAGGGGGTGGGACCTTGCAAAACCTTGATTTTGGACTTTTGGCCCAAAGAGAGCGAGGATAAACCTGTGTTGTCAGCCCCTCAAGTGTGATGAGTTACAGCCACTGTAGGCAGGACATTCATACAAAGGGCTAGAGTCACTCCCTCCCTTGGCTTTGCTGAGACCTCAGAGCCTCTGAGCAGGCAAACCCAGCAGGACAGGGACCTCCAACGAGGAAGGAAACGGATTGGAGCTGGACCGTCATAAGGGCTCTAGAGAAACCGGAACATCAGGACCCTTCCGAGGTTTGAGCTCAACAGCCCTGGGCGCCGGGCCTGCAGCCTCCTGAGCGTCACCTGCACTGGCTGTCTCCTTAAGGTCTCAGAAAGCGCATGTTGGGGGCATTTCTTAAGCAGTTTTCAGTCTTCCATGTTTCAAACTCAAAGGCCACTGTCTTTTCTGAGACCAATGATAGCAAAACACACAACACTGTGCCTGGGGCATCGGCGATGGGAGACCTTCACCTGCAGCCCAGGCAGACACGGCCTGCCAGCACCCTCTCGCCCCCTTCACAGGCTACCCTGGTCCCACATCCGTCTTCCAGTTCAAGTCTGTGCCCACCCACCTCCTCAGCCTGCTGGGCCTCCACATGCTTGTCCAGGTAGGTCCCCTCCAGCACAGAGCCCACGATGGTGAGGCCCTTGCCAGCCTTGAGCTGCGTGGTGAAGGACAGCAGGCGGGGGTGCTTCACACACTGTTCAGAGTCCAGGTTCAACATCACCAGCACCTGGGGCCTGTGTAGGAATAGCAGTTACTGTGGCAACTCATCACCACACACTCATCAGTGGACATGTTGAGACAGGTAGGACAAGTGAAACAGGTGAACAGACGGGATAAGTGAACAGATAGGATAGGTGAACAGGCGGGAAAGGTGAACAGGCGAGACAGGTGAACAGGTGGGACAGGTGAACAGGTGGGACAGGTGAGCAGGTGGGACAGGTGGACAGGTGGGACAGGTGAGCAGGTGGGACGGGTGCGACAGGTGAGCAGGTGGGACAGGTGGACAGGTGGGACAGGTGAGCAGGTGGGACGGGTGCGACAGGTGAGCAGGTGGGACAGGTGGACAGGGGGGACAGGGGAGCAGGTGGTGGGACAGGTGGACAGGTGGGACAGGTGGACAGGTGGGACAGGTGGACAGGTGGAACAGGTGAGCAGGTTGGACAGGTGGGATAGGTGAGCAGGTGGGACAGGTGGACAGATGGGACAGGTGGACAGGTGGGATAGGTGGACAGGTGGAACGGGTGAGCAGGTGGACGGGTGGGACAGGTGAACAGGTGGGACAGGTGGGACAGATGGGACAGGTGGGAGAGGTGGACAGGTGGGACAGGTGAACAGGTGGGACAGGTGGACAGATGGACAGGTGGGAGAGGTGGACAGGTGGGACAGGCAAACAGATGGGACAGGTGAATAGTCAAATGCCGCCTGGGGCCCCTGAGCTGAGGCTCCTGATGAAAACCCCAGTGGGCACCTCCTGTCCCTGCCTGTTAACTCCTCAGGTAAGTGCAGGAGGGGAGACCAAGGACTTTCAGTACAGATTAAATTCCCTCCCCCACTCCCTTCCCAGAAGTGAGAAGAGGGCACAGCCCAGCTGTTACACGCTGAAGTCCTCCATCCCAGGAGCCCCTAGGAAAGCTCACCACTCCCCGCACCCACAGCTCAGGCCCAGCCTACAGCCAGCACCGCCCTCCAGATGTCTGATCAGACACAAGCTGATCACACCCCTCCCCCTCAACCCCATGGATGGAGGGAAGGCACTCGAAGCTTCCGAGACATGTTCCCCAACAAGAGGAGGACCAGTTTCTAAGTCTGACTTTGGAAACAAGTGCTCCATGGGATCAGAGGGCAGGGGCGCCGGCACTCACCTCCAGTTCTTGGTATGGGGGGTGCCGTGTTCCACACGCAGCAGGGCATAGCGGGCAGCGTTGAGCGACAGCCCCCTGATACCATCGCCCCACTCCTTCTCAGCCCTGCGGAGGAAGGGGTGGCAGTGAGGCCCCCCACAGCACACTCAGAAGGTGCCCGCAGGGCGGCGCCCAGAAAGCTGCCTTGGGGTCTCTGCACTTCTGTGACGGAGGAGGGGCTAGCAGGCAGGCCAAGAGCAGGAGGAGCAGGACATGGGGAGGGGCACCTTGGCTGGAAGGGGTGGGGGAGGTGAGCCTGGCACCTGGCACCTGTAAGGGACCTCAGATGGGCCAACTGGGGAAACTGCAGGAGAAGGTGTGGCGGGGGCTGATGGGCAGGCAGAGACCTGGGCAGAGCTGGCTCCAAAGGATTGGGCTTCACCAGCATGAGCCTCAGACCCTCCTTCCAAACCACTAGAGCTGGGATGGAGCTTCTGGCAGTCGCCCACCTGCCACCTGGCCAGAGGGCCCACCTCCCCGAGAGGCCCCACCCCACCCCGCAGGGACCAGGGCAGCTGGGGAACCGCCCAGTGAGGAACTACAGGCTCTGAGAGACAGGTAACCTATGGGCACTATGGTTGCCCTTGGCTTTGTTTTTTTATTGACAGTGTGGTTTCTGGAAATGTTGGAACCTGTCACACATCAGTGCTGCCATCCGGTGGATTTTTGTTTCCAAAAAGCACACTAAAACATGGCGTTTATATATAGACACAGATGAACTTAATGTTGTGTCTCACAACATGGGATCAGTTGAGAACAGCAGACGTGGCAGCTCTCCACCTGTCCACTGATAAGACGGCTGCAGCTGAGATCCTGCCCAGGTCTCTCTGCACCCTCCGGTCCAACGCCCCCGCCCCCCTCAGGGAGGCCCCACTCTGAGAACATGCCCCGGTTGGCAGGGACCCTGTGACCGCGGCGGCCGTGTGGCCCGCAGAGCTCACCCTCGGTACTCGATGTACTTGTAGATACAGCCGGCGATGAGCATGGCGAACAGGGCATAGTACCAGGAGCAGATGAACATCAGCGCCAGGCACAGGCTCATGCCCAGGAAGGACAGGGTCCTGGGGGAGTATGTGGTCATTCAATGGCCGCAAGTGGGGACCAGAGTCCATGCCCCGGCCCGGACCCGGACCCCCACATCTCACACGCGGCCTGTCCCATGCCCCAAACTAGCATCTGAGCAGCTGCCTCAAAAACAGGACTAGTCCTTTCATGAAAACCTTTCTTTTAGTTACTCCTACAAAACGGCAGGGATGCCTGGCAGCTGGCTCCTCCATCCTGAGTGGGCTCTGAGGGCTGGAACGGCCTGACGACACCTGTCGCAGCCCTGGCTCTTCAACTGTACTGAACGCCCACTCGCTCCCCAAGGCTCTCTGCACCCTGATGGGCATGAAACCCAGCACCTGACGCCCAGGGAACACAAGACCCAGCAGCCTGGGTCCCACAGTGATGACAAGGGCTGCCCACCGTGGGCGTCCCGGGTGACAAACAGGCAGGCCATCCTCACCAGCCTGGCTGGGCGCTTCCACGAAGAACAACCAGGGCCCCACAGCCTCCGAGCCCGGCAGCAGCTGGCCTGGCAGATGCACTGTGCACCCTCCCAGCGTAGCCTTACAGGCAGAAGACTTACCAGTGGTAGTATCTGAAGCGTGGGCGCCAATTGGGGGTGCGCAGTAGGGTCTGCACCGCGCACGCCAGGTTCACAAACATGTAGCACATGAGGAAGAACCTGGGGGCCAAGAAGCAGCATCAGAGGAGCTGAGCCAGGTCCACGGTGGTTCAGCATCTGCTCTGTCCTGCGGGAGTCCCTGCCCACCACCTCCCATGAGGCCCTCGTCCCCATCACTGCTCTTCCAGTGCCGGTGGGGGGGGAGGGTTCCCTGTCCCACTGTCCACATCACTGTCCCTCCTTTGGGTCTCCCTGGCCTCCTGTCCACATCACTGCCCCTCCATCGGGTCTCCCTGGCCTCCTATCCACATCACTGCCCCTCCTTCAGGTCTCCCGGCCTCCTCTCATCCACATCACTGCCCCTCCTTCGGGTCTCCCTGGCCTCCTGTCCACATCACTGCCCCACACCTAATCACCTGGGCCCCTGGGCCCATCCCTGTCTGTGGTCCCCTGAGCAGAAGGCCAGCCCTGAGAACAGGGCCTCATGGTCCTACAGTGGACACAGTGGCGACCACATCCCCACGCCTGGTCCCCACATGCCCTTGCCGTGCCCGTGCTCAGCTCACATGGAGAGGATGGGGGCCACACTGTCCAGGGAAGCGATGAGGATGCCGATCTCACAGATGAGGGCAGTGAGCAGCAGGGCCCACGTGGGCTCCCCGTTGGCCTTCCCGTGGCCGAACACCTGCAGGGAGAAGGGCACGTGGGCTGGGGGCCAGGGTCCGATGGCCGCAGGAACGACGACTGGAGTTGGCTGGTCCAACCCACAGGGCCTCAGAGATGCAACATATGAAGAAGTGGATTTTCATGACGCACCCTGCACCCTACCCCAGGGCCCATGAAGAAAACCTGACCCCCAGAACTGGTGAGGCAGTCAGCAGCTGTGTGCCATCAGACCCAGGGCCCTGGCAGGGGGCTGCCAGGTACAGGGCAACACCCAATATGTCGGACAGGGGTCTCCTGGGATCCTAAGCCCAGCCTCGAGGGGAAAGAATTCTGCAAGGACCTCCCTACAAGGCACCTGGGCCTTCACCCACAGCCATGTGGGTGACAGAACCTTCCAGAAGGTCTGCCCCATGCTCAGGGACACCAGGCTTGAGAAGCTCTTCCCACACACTGCCCGCTGCCCAGGATTCTGGGAAGGGAAACTGAGCACATGGCAAAGACACAAAATGCAGACCCAGGGAAGCAGTCCCACCAGCCAAGCCTTGCGGGGGGGGGGGGTCCAAGGCGGGGCTCCCCAATACCAGGGCCACCTCTCGACAGTCCAGCACGGTCCCTGGGCCGGCAGTGCACCTTCCACGACCTTGTCTCTCCTGAGCGGACAGACGGGAGCCGTGAAAGGGGAAGAAACCCGAGTCTGCTGGGATTGGTTTCAGGAAACTAAGTGAGAACGGCAGACGCTGGACCACACCCACACGCTAGCCTCAGATGCTCAATAAATATGAAGGTCGGCGTGTCCCCAAAATGTGCCTGGTGAGGTCCTGCCCCAGCACCTCAGGACAAGACCATGTTTGGAGTTGAGGTCACTGGGCTAGACCCTGACCCACTCTGACTGGGGCCATTGTAAGAAGAATAGAACGGACACACACAGGGATGGCCATGTGAGCCCCGAGGGAGAAGGGGCCATCTGCTCCCCAAAGAGACGCCTCAGGAGGAAGCCCGGACACCCTGGCCTCGGACTTTGGCCTCCAGCCCAGGATAGGCTCAGCTTGTGCTGTTTAAGCCCCGCGTGTGCGGCCCCTGTCATGTGGAGCCAGGCCACTAAGTTCCTCCCAGAGACATCAGCCCCAACGGGTGGAAGCAGGGGCTCCGGACTCCATGGCCCTCATTGTCACAGTGAGGCAGTCCTGGGCGCAAAGTCCCACGGGACACATGCCAACCCCCCGGGAAGAGGCGGCTCCCACAGCCACGCCTGTGA